CTATACAAACAATGAACAGTCTGTGAAAGACATTAGGAAAACTGTCATTCTCAATAGCTTTGAAAGAATTAAAATAGCTAAGAATAAATTTAACACAGGATGTGATTGACCTATTCAATGAAAACTACAAATAACTAAAGAAAGAAATCAACAAAGACATCAGAAGATGGAAGGACATCCCATTCTCATGAATCAGCAGAATCAATATTGTGAAAATGTTTACACTACTGAAAGCAATCTATATGCTCAATGCAATCAGTCCCTATCAAAATTCCAATGACATTCTTCACCGAAATAGAAAAGTCAATCAAAGTTCATATGGAAGCACAAAAGACCTTGAATTGCCAAAGAAATCCTGAGTGAAAATGCTGGAGTTTTTCACAATACCTGACTTCAAACTATACTACAGAATCATAATAATAAAAACATTATGGTACTGACATAAAAACAGATATGAAGACCAATGGAATAGAATAAAAGACTTGGACACAAACCTATGCAACTATAGCCATCTAATTTTTGACAATAGTGCCCAAAATATGTGTTAGAGAAAAGACAGGATCTTCAACAAATATTACTGTTATAAGTGGATTTCCACCTCCAGAAGACTGAAACTTATCCCCATTGCTCACCTCATACAAGCATCAATTCAAAATAGATTAAAGATCTTAGTGTAAGATGTGAAGCAGAGAAATTAATCCAGGAAAAAATAGGTAACACATTGGACCATATTGACATAGGTAATAACTTTATGAATGGAACTCCAATAGCTCAGCAATTAAGAGAAAATATTGACAAGTGGGACTACATGAAACTAAAAAGCTTCTGTACAGCAAAGGAAATACTCACCAGACTGAAGACACAGCCTACAGAACTGGAGAAAATCTTTGACAGCTATACATCTAACAAGGGATGTTATCCAGAATATATAGGGAGCAAAAAAAAAAAAAACTAACCCCTCAAAGAATCAAGAACACAGTGAATAAATGGGCAAATGAACTGAACAGACAACTCTCAAAAGAAGTACAAATGGTCAATAAATATATCAAGAAATTCTCAACAACCTTGGCCATCAAAGAAATGCAAATCAAAAGTACATTAAAATTCCGCCTCAACCCAGTCAGAATGACTATCACCAATAACACAAACAACAATAAATGCTGGGGAGGATGTTTGGGAAAAGGAACCCTAATCCACTGTTGGTTCCCACAAACAGCATAAATTAGTGCAACCTCTGTGGAAAGTAATATGGAGTTCTCTCAAAAAACTAAGACTAGAACTACCATTCCTGGGGATATATCTAAAAGGATGTACTTCAAGATATGATAGAATTTCTTGCACATCAATGTTTATTGCAGCACATCCATGTTTATTGGTTATTTACAATAGCCAAGCTTTGGAAGCAGCCTAAATGCTCCAAAACTGATGAATGGGTTAAGAAAGTGTAGTATATACACACAGTGGAGTTTTATTCAGTCATAAAGAAGAATGAAATTATGTTGCTTGTAGGTAAATGGATAGAACTGGAGAACTTCATGTTAAGCTAAGTAAGCCAAGCTCAAAAAAATCAAACGTTGCATATTTTCTCTCATATATGGAAGCTATAAGTTAAATGTATACATAAAAGCATATATGATCATATATATATATATATGTATATATGTGTGTGTGTATAGTGATAGACCAAAATTGTATTATTGAGTCTGTCTGAGGTATCTATGTGAGGTAGAAGAGAGAAAGAAAATGTTAGAGCATGAAAAATATTGAAATAAGCCATGTATTATGAATATGTATACTGTACAGTTCAGTAATTTGTTGAATATTATGACAGCATTATAATAGAGGATGAGTAACAGAGAGGAAGAGATAATTTGATAAAAGTATGATATATATACATCTGAAGTACATAGGTGAACCCTCCTTGGACTATCAATATAATTTAATTTAAAAATGAATGGCAGGAGGGAAAAATAAATCTTTTCCAGGAGTGGGTACCAATGGAAGAGGGGTGGGCACAAGGAGAGGGTGGATTAGGATGTATATGGTGGATGTGTTTTGGATTCATATATGAAAATAGAAGAGTGAAACCTGTTGAAATTGTTCTAAAAAGGTGGGGAGGGGGGAAAAGGAAGAATGATGGTCAGGATAAATCTAACTAAAATGAAAGCATGTATATAAATATCACAATGTATTCCCCTGTACAACTATTATATATTTAATAAAATCATTTAAAAAGTGACAGGAGCTATCTGCTCCTCACTCTCCAAATAAAACATTATACTGGAGGCCTACGTCGAAAAGGGGAAGAAAGCTATGGATGAGCCAGAGCAGGCACTGGACTTTCTGAACAGTGAAAATATCAGAGTGAGAGCAGAAGGGTGCTTTCTGATCCACTAGTTGTGCTCAGGGAGCTTACCACCCCATCCAACTGCTATATCACACACCTGGAAATGCCCTACCTCTCCCCAGTAGCTGCCCTAATCCAGAGTGCCCTGCCCCCCAGATTACACTTGGGCAATCCAGGGCTCTGAAGTGACACATAAGTAAACACGACAGGAGAACTGCAGACAAAATCCACAGAATCAGAGATTGAAGGGGAGCATCAAGTGTACTGACAGAGCCCAGCAGACATTCACTGTCAACAAAGAAGAAATACTAAATTTTTTAAAATTAAAAAAATCAATTTGGGTTGGGAGGGAGCTGAGGGGGAGTAACAATGGGAGTGATGTAACTAATATATAATATAAGCCTACTTGGAATTGTCACTATGAATCCTCCCTGTATAATGAATATATCCTAATTCATTCCTAATTTTCTTCATTTTATAAAAATTACTAATATTCCTAATTTTTAAAAAATTTATTAAAAAATTGTAATGATTAAAAATTAATTTATTTATCTCTTTTATATTGTTCATTTTCTCCATTCTTTTTTTTCAAGTTTCCTCTCTTGCTTACAAACTCTTCCACTGGTGGTTTACTCTACCTCCTTCTTTTATTATTCTTAACTATTCTATCCTGCAATCTCTGATAATATCACCCTTCTCCAAAATAATCAAACAATATTCCTACACATTAGTATTTTGTTTACCTGTAGCCCTCTCATTTCATTCCCACTTTGCTCCATTTTCAGTGTTTTTTTACATCTCAGTTGGACTCTTTTTTAAATCCATTTTCTTTTTTCATGTTTATTAGCATATATTCATTGTACATGGGGGGATTGAACATTGGTTAGATTGTCCTCACCATCTTCCCATTTTGCTTCTTATTTCCTCCCTCAACTCTTTATTTTAACTATCTAAGTTAAAATAAATTAAACTTCTATGCAAACAAGTTTTATTTTTCTAACCCCCTACTGTACCATGCAAGAATGCTAGTTCCCTTCATATATAATGTGATCAGTTGTATAGATATGCTTCCAATGGTATTTTACTTCATGTAAATATGTGGTTTGGTATTGAATTGGTAAACTTGTTATTACTGGGTTATATCCCCAGACCAGTGGCTGGAAATGACACATAAACTCTGCCACTAACCAATTCTGCCAGAACATAGGGAATAATTCAAGGGAAAGATTTTAGATGTCTAAAACTCCCAACCAACCAACTAACTCATATATCCATATATTAAAAAGTTTTTGATGAAATCCAACAGCCATTCATGATTAAATGTAATGTAATACAACTCATGAACAGAAAAAAGGAAGAAAAACACATGATTATCTCAGCTGGTACAGAGACAACATTTACAATGTTCAGTATGCTGTATCATAAAAATACTCAGCAAATTTGGAAAGAAGAGAACTTCCTTAACATAAGTAAGGCCACATGTGGCAAATCCACCGGGAATATCATATTCACTGGGAAAGGATTAAAATTTTCCTTCTAAGATCAGGAGCAAGACAAAGACAAACAGTTTCAACATTTCTGTTGAGCACAGAACTGGGAGTTTCCAGTGAGAGCAATGAAACAAGGAAGAGTCATAAGGACTTCCACACTGAAAAGCAGAAAGTAAAATGTAATTTGGGAGGTTAATTAGGTCATGAGATTGGAGCTCGTATGAATGGGGATTCCAGGGATCTATTGTGTCTATTTTGTGCCCTGTAAAATTACAAGAAATCAGCAGGTTGTAACTTTGATGTGCACTCTCACCAGAACCCAATCATGCTCTACCCTAATCTTGGATTTCCAGCCTCTAGACCATAAGAAATAAAATTATTGTTACCACAAGTCTATGGTATTTTGCTACAACATCCTGAACTGACTAAGACACTCTATTAGTAAAAAGGAAAAAACCTAAACATACATCTACTATACATCCCACAAATTTGGTCCTAAGTATTTATCTGAGAGAAAAGAAAACATGCACAAGCAAAAATCTATTGATTTTTGAACTAATAATAAAAGAAACAACTTGGATTGATGTCAAATTCATTTTTTTCTTTTGTGGAACTGGGTCTTGAATTCAGGGCCTTCAACTTGAGCCACTCCACCAGCCCTATTTTTGTGAAGGGTTTTTTGAGATAGGGTCTCTTGAACTATTTGCCTAGGACTTTGAACCGTGATCCTCCTGATCTCTGCCTCCTGAGTAACTAGAATCACAGGTGTGAGCTACAGGTGCCCAGCTCAAGTTCATTATGCTGAAGAAAAATATCAAAAAGTCACATGCTGTATGATTCCATTATTATATAGCATTCTTAGAGAATGTATTAATGATTTCCAGAGGTGGGAGATGGTGGTGAGAGAAGTGAGAGAGGACTGTGGGTGTGGGTATCGAAGGGCATCAGAGAGAGATCTTTGTGGTGAGGGGACAGATCAATGATTTGATGTGGTAGTTGCATGAATCTATACATGGGATAAGATGACAGAACTCTACACTTAGCTGTCTGCTAAGTAAATGACCTAAGACAGGAAAAAAATTCACTTTTACAAGACTGCTTACAAAGTCTAGAATGATTCTACCAGCAAGTCAGTCATGAGTTCTCTGAAATCAGCAACTGACCTGTTACCTGCAGTTCCCAGATGGCCTCCTGCTCATGAGTCTGGGAGCTGAACCAGCACCCATACAGGCCAGCATCTGAGGGAGAGACTTTCTTCAGCCTTAGGAACACATGCCCATCCATGATGAAGTCCTTCACCAGCTCTGTTCTCCCTTGATAGGCTGGCATCTGCATATATTTCTGGTCTTTACCATCCTGGTAGAGGTGGACTATGTCAGAGAAGTGTTCTTTGAAGAACCGCACTTCCATGACATGGGCATTTGCCTCAGGAGAGAGGAAGCAGGGAACACTGCATCCTCCCCAGCAAAGACCCGGATGGGCTTCTCTGGCCCAACCACCTGCCACTGTCCTGTGGGAGGAAACACAAGAGATAACTGAGTAAAACCCATGTTGGTGTGTCCTGTGGAGAACTGGAGTGAGGAGGTGAAGGGCATGGAACACTTAACATGATCTCCTTACTCCACTGAGGGACTTAAATCTGTATATCCCCTTACACTTGACAGAATATGTCCTCATCAGTTACCTGACTCAGTCCTGACAAACATCCCCAGGGGTGCTTTACTAATGTTCCCATTAGCAAGATTAAAAACTATGTCCAGATAAATGACAGGCGTGTTCCAAATGCAGATCTGCTGACTAGAGGAGATCCTATATTGACATTCTTTCTCTTTTGCCTATATGCCTCACTAAAATTCACATCACTCCCCTTTTCCATCCTCTTTGCTTAAAATCAAATACCTCCCTTTTTACAATGACCCAGGGAGGATGGGTATGGCCATGAATCTCCAGTTTGGGGCTATTTGTTTCTTTCTAACACATGAATATGTTTTGTAAATATTCCATCAATACAACAGGGGAATACACACTTTCTGACCATAGGTCAAATTTCTGCTTGTGCTTCTTGGTTTTGTTATCTATTTGTGTAACAGGTACTTAAGATGCTTTTGCTGAAAAACACTAACACTTTACTAGAGAACACAAAGTGGGAGAAAATCTGGGCATCTCTGTCTCCCTTTTGTATCTGTGATTGTTCTAAGCCATTCACCTTGCAGCTACCTTGGCATCCAGGAAGAACAGGAATTACAGATAATGTGTTTACAAAGAGGAATGGAGGAAACTGCCCTGAAGAAGGAACAACAGAGGCCCCTCATGACAGACCACTAGCCAGGCAACAATGATTTTGCTTATCGTAACCAGATTGTTGCTCCCCACAAGTGATAGCAGTGATAACAAACCCATAACACTCCATAATGATCAACCAGGCCAAAATTTGACCAGGACTGTTTAATTGTGCATATCTTTCACCTTCCACCCCAATACCTTTTCTATTTAAACCAAAAGCTCATCTGTACCCTAAAGATGGCTCATCATGGGCTGAAGTGCTCACTTCACCTCTTCACGTGGCTGTCTATGCTGTGCAATATACCTTTCCCTGCCCTTTACCATTACTTGTTGCTTTATTTGGTGTGGGGTGAATGGTCAGACCTGACATGTGGAACCCTTGGATTTTGGGTCTGGATCCTGAAGCTCTGGTTTCCTTTGTTCTGCCAAAATCTGAAAGATTCACTATTATAGCACGGCAAGGAGATACTGCAGTTTTCATCTCAGAGATTTCTCTTTTAGTGTGTTCCTATTGTGGTATATTCTTTCTATACTTTTATACCTGCATAATATTTTCTTCCACTTTATGATTTTAGCCTTTAATCATACTCAATTTAATACTTTTTTAATATGCCTTATCTTCATTTTGTTCATATTTTCTTGATTGATCTTGAACCTCACCTTCATTTTCAAACTTCTTCCTGGTCTGGTTTCAAATGTGATCATTATTTGCTTTCCATGAGCTTTTCCTTGCAGAAGTCTTAGCCGTGTGTGGACAGGGCCTGCCTGTTTTGCTCAGCAAAGCATTCCCTGCATCCAGCACAGAGCATGAGCATCACAAACAAGGGTTGCATCTGTGAATCTTGAGCACCATTTTCTTTTCATTTTTTTCTTGTTTATTCATATGTGCATACATTTGTTTGGGCTGTTTCTCTCCCCCCACCCCCTGCCCTCTCTCTTTCCCCTCCAGCCCATTTTCTTTTCTTACTGCTCACCTGTTTAATGCTCATTTCAGCAATTTTCCTGGCTTAAGTCCTATTTAACACTCTGTAAGAGATTCCTTCTTAGAGAGAGACCACACACTGGGGAGACCCACTCCCTTTAACTTTTGTGTATGCATCCCTTTGAACCCAGCCATTTTCTCTTGATTAATTCACATGCATTTGCCTACAAATTTAGGCACATAACTATGCAGGGAATGCATATGAATTGGAGAGAAGATAGTTTCATGTGTAAATTTCAAAATAAGTAAACTTTTTTATTTTAGCACCAATTATTTATTATTTTAAATATGCTTTTACAAATCTTTCTGAAAAGAACTTCACACATCTCTTGTAGAAGACTGTTACTAGATGAACTGTGATATTGTAAGTGTGGTCTCTGTTCAGTTGCTTACCTGGAACAGCAGAGGTTAAGAACTAACCCTTAACCCGTACTCTACCCCTGAGTATCCTGCAGTAGGTTGGGCCCACCCCACACCTGCTGGCAGCTTCACCCTAGGAGCCTAGCCTCTGCCTTCTGCTCTCTGCTGAGGACTCCCTCCCCTATTCGAAATGTACAGAAGCAGGGCAGCTCAGAAGTCCTGAGATTTTAACAACCCAGAGGTCACATCATAACCAGTGATAGATGGAAGCTCTCAATCTGTCCTCAAACTCATCGAGATAATTCTAGCCACTATCTCAATAATTCCTCTACAAGTTCCCTGTAAGTTTCTCAATGGGTCTGAGTCTCAGTTACTCTCATCAGTAACTTGCTTTTTAGCACAACCTCGGTGGCTTTCCTATTTTCACCCTTTACTCTCCCCATCCCTTCACTTTTGTCTCCCAGAATCACCTCCTAAACAAACCACCTACAGACCAGCTTCTTCACTGGATCTTTTTTGGAGAACCAGCTTGGCTGCTGTTAGTGCTGCCTTCAGAACTCTGAAGAGGCTCCTGAGCTGAGGGAACCTATTTCTCAGGCCAGGCTTTGAAGCTGTCATTTGTGTTGTGTACAGAAACTCCTTCCAATTTTTACTTTTTCTTCCTCTGGGAAGAAGCAAGAACACAGTGTGCAGTACAAGCAGTTGAACACACTGTACCATGAGAGCCATGTGCTGGGGGTTTTCCATGCACAAACTCATGAAGTCCTCTTACAGTCCTGTCAGGAATGTGATACGAGCTTCATGTCATAGCAAGCAAACTGACACTTTGAGAAGTTATGAGCCACAAAGCTCAAAAGCAGAGGAAATGGGAATGTTAAAAAATTAAATTTCTGCCTGGACTGTGCCTTCCACGATCCCCTGCTGCCTCTCCTGAAAACAGCAAGGAAGCCAAGAAGCTCACTAGAAAATGTGTGAGAACAAACTTAAAGGAGAGGTGCTCCGAAAAGTAACATGTATAGATTTTGTGTGAAAAGTTAACATATTCCTGAGTTATGCAATCAGCCTAGGTGCCCATCAACAGATGAATGGAAAAAAGAAAATGTGATGTATATTCACAACAGAGCATTTGTATTCATTTGTATTATGTATTCAGGCATAAAGAAGAATGAAATTCTGTCATTTTCAGTAACATGGATGGAACAGGAGACCATCATGTTAAGTGAAACAATCCAGCCTCACAAAGACAGGCTTCACATATTTTCTCTCATGTGGAATTTGGGGAGGAAATGAAAGTAAAAGGGGAACTTTTAGGAATGTGGGAAACAGAAAAGGGGGAAGAAGGAAGAGGAAAGGGAGAAGAAAGGGTGATAGAGAAAGTGAATGTGATCAAAGAACATTATATGCATGTATGGAAATATCATAATGAAACCCATAACTTTGTAAAATTAATAGATGCTAAGAAAACATAGCATATGTTTTAAAATTAATTTTTAGTATTTTAGCTGTACATATTTATGGACTACTATGTGATAATTTGATACATGCTTACAATATATACTATGAAGTATTAGTTAACATTTTCCTCTCCTTAAAATTACTTTGTGTTTGGAGATTTTGAGTTCCTTTCTTCTAGCTATTCATGAAATATGTAATAGGTTATTGTGAATTATAGCCATACTACTGTGTACTATAGGATGTTATGAATGTTTTTATTTACCTTTTTTTAGTGTTTAGTGAGACAGACATGGGTAGATAGGCAGGCAATTGGATGGTGCTTCATAGAGGGAAGGTAAGGACTCATTTTAACCTTTTACTGATGAACACTGACTACCCAAAGACTTGTGCCTGTTCTAGACTCCAGTGTCCTTTGGGAATTTTTACTCAACTAGTTAATATCTTATAAATCAGATTTTTTTATTAAGTGATCACTGGAAGGAAAGAGAAGAATAGATTTCTGTCCAAATAAGGCAGCTCCCACATCAAAGATAAGGATATCTTTCCCAACCTTATGTTACATATGACAATGTTTCTGACTCAGCCGACGTGACCATTCCTTTTCTCAAATGTACCAGTACCCACCCACTCAAATCAGAAAGCAAGCTGTTTATAGACCTCACTTGCCTCGTCAGACCTCATCACTGACAAAAACCTAACACACTTACCTCAGAGTTCTGGGCTTGCCCTTCCCAACTTCTGTGACCTCTCTGACACCCACACAGCATTTCTTCACTACTTTCATAATGTCTACAGTGCCTGAATTCTTCTTACTGATCCATTGCCCCCCCCAGGTCCTTGTATTGTAAATTCTAAGCTTGAAAAAGAGAACCTGGGAGACTACAAACAAAAAAGATGCACCTACCCCATTGTTCTACAATTATAAGTAAAGAACTCAAAGTGTTAATTAGCAAGAAGTGGACCAAGAGAGTCTATCCTGGATAGCTTACCTAAACATGGCTTGAGGAGACTGACAACCAGCATGAGCACCAGGGCATGAATGTGTTGCAGTGGAATGATTTCATGCTGTGGAAACCAGACAGCAGGGATGGCTGGAAGATTTAGTTACAGAGTGGATGAACCAGGCCAGCTGCTTCAGAGTCAGGAGCCATGGAGGAGCTCATCATGAACTGTGCCATTCTTTTCGTAGTCTCCCTCACATCAATATGTCTGTGTGTGTTAGACCTATGGGTATGGACTTTGAATCTCTGCATTTATTGGCGGGCCATAAATGTCTATCTCAGATCAGGAAATGAAGATAGAAACGGGGTAGGGAACACTGACAGAGGACTTTGCCCTGGGTAAGGTCTACGCCCTGGGTGGTGTCAGGGAAATGCCAGATTCAGGGATATTTTCAGGTCCAGTCTGACAGAAAGAAGCAGGTGGTCAATGGGTAGGGATCTAGTCCTAACAGAGAGGTCATCCTGGCAGAGAACAGCAGGGTCTCTCACACAAAAGTAGATGCTCTGGGAGGTTCCTGAGGTATGCCTTCCCAGTGCTTTATTGTCTTGAGTTTAGATTTAGAATTCTGATCATGAGATCTGATAGGGACCATAGTGTTAAGGAACCCACAGTATTGGGAAGTATTACAGTGCAGGTTCAGATATGGGGAAAAGGTGAAGATCAATTCATTAGTCATTCATCAGATACAGTAACCTTGGGCATCCACAACTTGAAATCATGCAATCTTTACATACAATGAAACTCACAATGATTGACCATTTACTAGCTCAAAAGCAAATTTCTACTGATACCATCACAAGGAACAGTCTTTTACTGCAATGTCATTAAGGAAAAAAGCAATTTTGAAATAGGAAACCCTATCCACAAAGAAATCTTTAATGACTCGATTTTAAATAACTCATGGGTCTAAGACAACTCATAATAAATGTGGAATTTAGAATAAAGCAAGAATGAAAATACTATATTTGGCTAAATTTCAGGACATTGGCAATAGCAACATGTGGCAAGGATGTGAAGAAACAGGAACTATCACTCCTTGCTAATGAATAAAAGATGTAATTACTTTGGAAGACAGTTTGACTATGTCATATAGAGCTAACCATGCCATATGTTTGAGTAGTCATGTATGAGCTGACAATTTACATTCATCAAAAAAAAACATATACATAAATGATTATAGCTGATTTATTTATAACTGCCAAAATCTGGAACAAGCAACATGCTCTTCATTAGGGGAATGGATAAACTGTGGTAAATTCATACATTGGAATATATCCACTATAAAAAGAGATGAGGTATCAAGGCATAAAAAGACATGGAGAAACTTTAAATATATACTACTAAGTGAAAGTTGCTAGTAGGCAAAGACTGTATACAACATGATCCCAACTATATAACATCTAAAAGAGAAAGCCGTACAGCCTGGTGTAGTGACATATACCCAGGAGGAAAAGGCAGGAGGATTTGACTTCTAGGCCAACCTGGACTACAGAGTGAGACCCTGTCTCAAAATAACAAAAAAAGGAAAAACTACAGAAATGATAAAAAAAATCATTAATAGGCCAGAGTTTGGGGTTGAGGTAAAGGGGAAAGAGGGATAAATTGGTACAGCAAAGGAGATACTTTTTGCTGCAAAATAATTATGTATAAGACGAAAATGCTGAATATGAGACATTAGAAATGTGTCAAAATCCAGAGAACTGTATAAAACAAGGAGTAAATTTCTTATTTCTTTTTTGGTGGAACTGGAATTTGAACTCAGGCTTGCTAGGCAGGCACTGTACCATCTGAGCCACTGCACCAGTCCTGAGTAACCTTATTTAATAAAAATGAACCAATATTCCTTCATCCATTACAACCAATGTACCTCAAATGCAGATGTATCAAATGCCAGATATTAATAACATGTGTAACTATTGGGGGAACATATGGGAAACTAGATTTTTTTGGCCAAACTTCTTTATAGACAAAAATACTATTTTTAAAAGCTCATTGAAATAGAGAGGATGAACCAATTCATGTTATAATACATATATACATGGAAATGTCATGAGGAAACTCCCTGTACAGCTATCTTAAACAAACAAAAATGTCTTTTTTCAAAAATGGAGACTGGTAAGGTAAAATAGGTCCTGTCTAGGGGTTGGTACCAGTAGGAGAAGAGAGGATGTAAGAAAAAGGTGTAGAACAGTGAATATGGTGGAAATACTATGTATACTGTATGAAAATGGAAAATTGAGACTTGTTGAAAGTATTCCCAAGAGGGGCATAAAGGGGAATGATGGAGACAGTGAATCCAACTATGATATATTGCAAGAACTTTTGTAAAAGTCGCAATGCATTCCACTACAACAATTATATGATAATAAAAAAGTTCATTGATATAAAATGAAAAAATGCTGCATTTCAAAAGGTGCATGTAAACTAGTTCTCTGACAGAAATGTTTACCATTAAATGTTTATATGAGGAAAGAAAATGAGTCAGAAAACTAGCTGAGCAAAGCAACTGACTAAAATGTCAGAAGTAAGATTGAGATTGTGGATACATGTGAGGATCTCTGCTATCCATCTTATCCATCAGGTGGATACGTGCAGTAAACTGAAAACATTTCTTCAGTAAAAAAGATTAAGTGCTTGAAAGGTGTGTGTGTGTTGGCTTCTAGAAGCAGAGAAAGGGCATTCTCCCAGACCAGGTTTGGGGGGGTCGTGGATTCCAGCAGAGGGACTGCCTAAACTGACCCTTGAAACTAAGAAGAAACTGTAAGTAGGGCACAAGAGTCATCATGGGTGATTATATGAAGGAATGGAGCAATGGCACGTAACTGGAAATCATCAAATAAATTCTAGGCATATAACAAAAGGTTCAGGAGAAAAGACTAAGAAGGTACAAGTAAGAGATGTTGAGTGCTAATCTTACACATTTAATTTTATCTTGAAGTTTACAAATCTTAATAACAGAAAGCAATGAGATTGGCTTTGTGGTTAGAAGCATCCATAAGTCAATATAATGCAAGCAGTGTGGGTTTTGTGAGTGACTCTGTCCATTTGGACTGGGCTGCAACTTGTTGTCTAGAGATTGACATATGGGAGTCATGGTCTCCAGTGTGATGTTACTGAAATGGTGGAACCTGTAACAGGTGGGGCTTAGTAGAAGATAATGAGGTCATGGGCACACCAACCTTGGAAGGGATTAATGTGGTCAGTCTCACACAGTGAGTTAATTCTTATAAGAATAGGTTATTACAAAGTGAGACTATCCCTTGCATTGGTCCCTTCTGCATGTGGTTATTTTTGTTTCTGTTATTGTGTCATGCTGTGACACAGTCAGGGACCTTATTTTTTAGTGGGACTGGGGTGTGAACTCAGGACCTCATGCTTGCACAGCAGGTGCTTTATTGCTAGAACCACACCTCCAATCCATCTGTGCTGTGGTTGTTTTGGAGATGGGATTTTATGAAGTGTTTGCTTGGGCTGGTCTCAAAACATTGTGAGGGGAGCAAATAACAGAAGTGACTTTGTCTTAGATAAGGGAGACAAGCAGGCATTCTTAGCAATAAATATCTAAAGAGACAAGAAGTAGGCTCCCCAGAAAAGTAAAACTGCAAATGTCTCACCAAGACAGAAAAATGTCTCACCAAGGCAGAAAAATATAGCAATAAAGTATAAATGTTGGGCCTCAAGGCCAGGATTAGCTGACCAGACCCTTCTGGAATGTCCAGTTCAACAAGGATGGGAGTAGCCAGGTGGTCAGGTTCAGTAAGAAGTCAACTAGATGGTACCTGATCACCAATGTAGCTTCAAGGTAGAAAAGGCAGCTCTAAGTCAAGCAGAGTCCTATATCTCCCCTAGATTCATCTATACTATGGTTTCAGCTTTCCTAAGTCCCTCCCACATTGGAATCTTTTTCTGTCCTTTACAATAAACTTTACTCTTAACTCCTAGTCTGGCATCTTCAATCATCAGCTTCACCAGGACATGAACTCGGGATCAACCATCCAATATCACTCTGATCCTCCCAATCTCAGCCTCCCAAATAGCTAGGATTATAGGGATGGGCCACCATGCCTGACCTGGTTAGGGAATTCTTGTGAGAATTCCAGAGCCATGTGATATGACCCTCTAGTCACCAAAGTCATGAATCAAATAGACCTTTTCAATTTTATGAGTTACCCAACCTCAGGCATTTTGCTATGCCAACATAAAATGGACTAATAAACACATAACCTCTCATTGTATGGTATCTGGTCTAATGTTGAGGTATGGGCTCAAGATTGTTTTTTTACATATGAAAGGCATGTTCCTAGGAGAGTTGTTTGTCATAGGAATTAGGTTACTTGTGAGAAGTAGTAACTCTTCAACCACTTAGGCCCCAAAGGAGTCTAAGCATAATAAAACAGAAAATACAAAAGACAATTAATACAGGCAGTTGGTACATGGTAATGCTATTATCAGACAAGAACATGGAAAGGTAAAGCCCTAAAGGAGGCAGGCATGGTACTTATGCAGCCATGAGCTCTCTGTTGACCAAGCTAAGAGGCTGACTCCAGAATCCACTAGTGCCCTTGCACCACCTCCAAGCCTGCCTACCTGGTGTGCCCAAGTCTGCAGCCACCTGCACCACTTCCTGCATCTATGTGAGAATCTGGGCCACATGGTTGATGTCTGGGGCTGCAAACCTGAAGCAGCTACCTCATACCATGTGAGGCTGCCACCCCTGCAATGTCATCTTCTTCCTGTATGGTTTACACAATCCATCTCCAGTGGAATCCTGACTTAGCTGAGGTGTTGAACTGACAGTGACCATTTCCATCAGAAGCAGATAAAAATTCCATATCAAAAGAAATTTGGTTGACATCTCCACAGTTCTACAAAATAAGAATGAGACAGATAAAATGACCCAACACTCCACAAGGGTACTTTTCTAAGAATAGAGCATTGTTAAATACCATTCAAGCATTTTAAATGCAGTTAAAGACCTGTTAAATTCTGTTAAAACACTGTTAATGTTAATGATAGGCCTTTATTGTTAGCACCACTTTTAATGTTTATTTTTCCTTATTTTATTGTATTTTTGCAGTACTGGGGTTTGAACTCAGTGCCTACATCTTGAGTCACTCCACCAGCCCATATTTTGTGATGGTTTCTTTTTGAGATAGGGTCTTGCTGTTTGCTCAGGCTGTCTTCTAATCATGATTCTTCTGATCTCTGCCTCCTGATAGCTAGGATTACAAGTGTTAGCCACTGGGTCTGGCTATTTTTTCTTTAAATAAACTCAGATGTTGGGGACGGGGCTGATTTGACTAACTGACATTTGTTAGATCCTTCCCTGGTGTTCCAGGTGCCTTGAGCAGATGACTATCAACTAAACAACCCATTGGACTGCCTCATGCCAGCCTGCTTGCTTTGGGCACTTCATGAACACTTTGAGGAAGCTGCATTGCAACCATAGCTTCTTAATGCCAAAGTACAATTCTGACTCCAAAAAGCACTATTCTAGTCACCAATGTTTCAAACCTCTTGTACCAAACTTTTTGCCATCATAAACCTTGATGAACTCTAGCAGTCACTTTCACCCAGGCCAAATGGGAAGTACTTTCCCTGGTGGCCCAGCAGAAGGCCTAAAGTTGAAGCCTCTGTGTCTGCCACTTCATCCCCCATGCCTCTAGCACACAAGGGCCCAGGACTGCCAACACTTTGCCTATCCATGAGTCCTATCTGGGTAGAGCAAAAGAACCCTGGACAGTTGGTTGGCATCAAAAACAGTTGAAAAATTTTCCTCCTCACCCTGTGCAAATTTTGTTTGAATCATGCATTAGAAGGGGCTGAAAAATGGATACATCTTTTAAGCTGTGATGGGATGCTCCAGCTTTTACCAATAGATGATCTGTGCTTAAAATATTCAGTATCTTTTGTATGCTGAAAAAAAGGTTGTAGAAATCACGACAGAAGGCAAGATAGTGATGTACAATCTCCATCTTTGTAATAAGTACATGACTATTCAGTAAAAGTATGAATGTATTTATCCTAAGGACTATATAGTAGTAGCAGCCATTTCTAGTAAATGGCTATTAAATGACTAAAGGTGGATGTTTATTATTCTTTAGGGCTGGGTGGAGAGTTTCCAGTAAGCCATCTGTGATGGGGAAGAGTCTGGTCCTAACTTTGCTGTCCTATATTTACCTTAACAATAACCACATAACTATTCAGTTAAAGTGTGGATGTATTTATCCTAAGAACTATGTAGTAGTAAAAGCCATTTCTAGGGTGCTGTTTGTTTGTAAAGTGGCCTACTTGAAATAGTACTAATGAGTAAAGCAGGGTGACTAAATTTGTTTGAAACTTAAAGAACTTTGTGTTTATTAAAGTTATAATGTAGCATTTCTTATTTCAAATGGGTTTATAAAGTATAAATGGTCTTGTTAGTCAAATAAAAAATTTCATAATGGTTCCTTCTTCTGTATTGTTTTATTATCTCAAAAGTTTAGATAAGATGGTCTCCTTCCACTGTTCTAGTTGTCCTGGATATTAGCACATTCCCTAATGTATTTTGGAGGTTGATTCATAAATTTCTTAGACTTCTTACTGGAATTAGTTTAAGGGTGTCTGGTTAGATTGTGAATCGTAGACTGATAGAAACTGCACATGATATCGTTATTTTCTTGTTCTATTTTAACTTGATAATTAGGATACAATTTTTGATTCAAAACCAAGTAGTATTTATTATGTTTAATATGAAGTTAACATGCTCTGAATGAAACCCATCAACTTTTATGCTCTGAAGTAGTTATAATGCAAAGAGATTGGAGAGCTATAGCATTAAAGACTTTTGTTCTCAGTATGCTTAATATAGGTAATTTTTTACCACTATTAAAAAGCAATTTTTTATTGATTAAAGGTGGGAAATGATAGTTAAGTCACCAGTTGTGGTGAAGAGGATAGAAGTATACTACATATATACATATGAAAATAGCATAATGAACTTCATCAAACACTGTTTGAAAAGGTGGGAGAAGAAGAGGGGTGAGCATGTTCAAGGTGCACCATATACATGTACAGCATTATCATAATGAAATCTCCTTGTATTATTAATGTACACTAACTAAAAAATAAAATAAAAGGAAACCAATTCTATTTCAAGATCTTTGGCTACATGTATGTTACACAAAATAATAATTTTTTTCATGAAATGTTTTAATTTTCCCATATAGAGTGAGAAGGAAGGAAAGAAGAAGGAAGGAAGGAAGGAAAGAAAGAAAGAAGTTTGGAAGGAGAGGTTTATTAGTTAGTGTAAACCAGGCCAGTTATGTAGCTGCTTTATATATGGAGTTCTTTGCTTTTATTTCTCAAGCAGTCCTGGAAGAATCATCATGTGGGCATGAATAACTCCCTAGATCAAATACATAGGCTGATAGTTCTCTGTCTTCTTTAAGAATTGGTTTCTGTGATGATTAATTTTATGTGTCAACTTGATTGCACTATGAGGTGCCCAGATTATTATTAGAATTATTTCTGTGTAGTTTTGTGAGGTATTTCCAGATAAGATTAGCATTTGAATCAGTAGACTCAGTAAAGATTTCCCTTTCCAGTGGGAGTAGAACAAAAGTCAAAGAAAGAGAAATCTTCCCCCTTTTTAACTACTTAAATTGGATCATCAACTTTTTCCTTGCATGGAATGGGGGATTATCTATCCTGATATGCAGGTTTTCCAGACTCAGATGAGAATTTTACCACCTACTTTCCTCGGTCTTCAGCTTTTAGTCAATTGAGCATAGTATACCTTAGCCTCTATAGTCACATGAGCCAAATCCTCATAGTAAATAGATATATAGATGTACTGCTTATTTATAATGTTTTTCTGGAGAAATTGCAATAAAACAGATTTTGATACCAAGAGTGATTATAGAAGATCCGGAAACTAAGGATGAGTTTTCTATATTGGTTTTAGTGTTTCTGGAATTGTGACTATAATATGACTTGATTTTAAAATGACAATGACTTTATTTCCAGGAATAAAGAAATCATGGTTAGTTCATGGCATGACCTGGCAATAGATGTTTACAAAATATTTGCATTGGCTGAAATTAATCATTCACTTATAAAAAACGACCTGGATAACTCTTTGATACTTTTGAAAATTTTTGTGAAAAACAGTGAAGAAATTACATTGGCTGGTAGCTCCTAATGTTGTTGGAAAAAGTAATAGAGGAAAAAGATGAGCTCTGCAGCTCAAATTCCCAGGTCAAACATTGTATAGATGACTTGAGAGCTTTTATATGTCCCCTAAGGGACAGAAACTCAAACAACGATTGGCTTAATTACAATGCAAGTTGAATTCCCCCAGCCTCACACAATGTCTACTGTTAAAGTGAGTGCATTAATTAGGAAAGAATAGAATCTTATAAGTGAGAATGGGAATGTGTGGGAAGACCCTGATGAAGCTGGGGATGTTGAGCTCTTAAATTCTGATGTATCTTTTTTGTCAATGGAAGAAGTTTCCATATCTCTAACAGAAAATGTTGGTCCATTCCACTGCTATCAGACTCTTCATCCACAGTCATATAACCCTATCCACCTTCACCTGAATTGCCTAAGGATACTATAATGGACTCTTCCCAGTCAATTTCCCTACCAGACAATGCTGATTCTCTTTAGGACTCACCTTCACTACTTTACTTTGAGAGTTACAACTAAACTCAAGTCCCAGTGGAACCTGAGCTAGATTCTTGGGTACAGAAATGGTGGAAACCAGACTACCTAAAATATATAGGCAAGAGTTTATTAGGACATCTGCTGGAGCTTGGTGAGAAATGAAGTTTGGACTAAGAGCAAGTCAGGCTCTTGACTCCCCCAACAAAGAAAAAAGGGTATTTTATATAGGAAAAATTAACATTAACAGTTCCCATTCCAGTTACTCATGCAAATAAGGTATTCAAAATTTGTAGAGAGTGTTGTCCTGACTGGTTAGTGTCAGTCCTCTACACAAAAGAGGTACTGAAAATTACAGATGGTGTACAGCCTGACTGGTCAACATTTGAGTTCATTTGTGGGGAGCTCATTGTTTACCTTCAACTAGTTGAGTAAGACAGATTCTCAGAGGGTTTACCCTGGCCTGTATTTGTGTGAACAGGAATGTGTGAACCCTGGGTTCCAATTCTGTCCTTGTTCGAATTTTCTGTGAAAAAAGTAAACAGGTATAATTCCTATAGAGCTTCTTTCTAGTTTTTGATCTGTTTATCCTCCTTTTTGGTAGTTCTCAACTTTCCCTCCAGTAGGTCTCTAAAGTTAGGTGCAATTGTGACCCATGAAGAAGTGTATTACCCCCTGAAATGAGCTTCTTGGATTTTCTAACTTATTTAGACATAAATTTGGGAAATACGTGTGTGAATAGATACTTAGGGTGTAGAATAAAGGTGGAAGGAACATAAAATTGTACAGCCCAAATTTATTGGCTAATTTATTGTCATCACCATTCCAAGATACAAGGGTTTCAAACTAGGCTCAAGGCTTTGGCTTAGGCACAGGTTGACACTCCCAGAGGGGATGCCCTGTCTGGATGACAATTGGCTCTCTCTTCATTTTTTCCAGATGGGAAACACATTATCTATTCCTGCAGACATGTGTGGCCTGTGC